CTAGCTATCTAGCTATCTAGCTATCTATCTGTCTATCTGTCTATCTGTCTATCTGTCTATCTATCTATCGATCTATCTATCTATTTATCTAATCTAATCTAATCTATCCTATCCTATCCTGTCCTATCTAGCTATCTAGCTATCTATCTGTCTATCTGTCTATCTGTCTATCTATCTATCGATCTATCTATCTATCTATCTATTTATCTAATCCTATCTAATCTATCCTATCCTATCCTATCCTATCTAACTATCTAGCTATCTATCTGTCTATCTGTCTATCTGTCTATCTATCTATCTATCGATCGATCGATCTATCGATCTATCGATCTATCGATCTATCGATCTATCGATCCATCTGCCTGTATGTATGAGCCGAACATAGCCATATCATTGCACCCCCAAGGGTCATCTATAACAAAGATCTTTGATAATCACGAGAAGCGCTTCCACCTTGTGGACAGATGGAGCCGTCATCACTTGACCCGGCGCCATCCCATTGTCGAATAGGTCATGATCGATACCTCTGCAGGTGTGTTTTTTTCCTCCGATAAAGAAGTTTTATTAAAGAAGCTACAGAAGTTAAATCAGCCAAAACGAAATGATCAGTCAAGTCATTAGATTTTTCATCTAAAATGTTTCAGCATGCCTTGATTTTCCAATTTCCATTTTTCTGTAAAATATCTACTTTTCATGGTAAAACCATCACTTTTCCCAGTTGAACCCCAATTCTCCAAGTTAAATCTCCATTTTTGATGCTTAAATAACGTTAAACCCTGCATTGTTGATGATTTTCCTTGTTACATCTCCATGTTTGATGGTGCAACGGTGAAACCTCCTAGACACTACCACACATTTGATAGTTAAGATGGCTCATTGCGAACCACCCATTTCTGGCCATGACGAAGCAGGCCATGCCAAAGCAGGCCGCCATGCGGCAGACCTTGGCGCAGATGCCGGTGCAGACCAAAGTGCCGCTGGTGCCTTTGGTTGGAGCTGTATTTTCCAGCCAAAAAATGGTGGGAGTTTTCAGGGTTACACCCCCAAATAAATGGGATTTACACCCCAAAAAACGGGTTTTACAGAAACATAATGGACTTTACATGGATTTAAACCCCCCAAAAAAGGATGTACACAAAGCATATATTGGATTTGCACTGCTCAAAATGGGATTTACATCCAAAAAAACATGATTTACACCCAAACAAATTTGATTTACACCCAAAAACCTAGGTTTTTTTACATAAAAAAAGGGGAATTTTTGACCCGCAAAATGGAGCACTAAACATGGAGATGTAGCAGCAAATGGTGGAGGTTCCATTGCCACGTTTGCCGGAGGGTAAGTGTCCAGGAATGGGACCAAGGGTGATTTTTTCAAGCCCTGCGGTCATCGCTTTCTGGGGATGTTGGCGAAAGATGGCCCGGGAGGTTTGAATATTCCCCCACTGTCACAGTGACCGCAATTGGTCCTTGGGAATCGTCCCAACTTGCAGTACTCTTTGGGGGAGAATCAAATTTTACAGGGTTTCAGCTTGGTTTTCAATGGATTTTCCCACTGCTGAGGCTGAGACTTGACATGTTGATGAAATCCGTAGTGTTTCTGTCACAACAGAACCAATCCTGTGATCGGGTAAAGTATGGGACACCATTTGGAAGCAGTTGTCATGGTATAACATGCTAAACATATCCAACTTCGGTCCGTTGTAGCCTGAACTTGGAGTATTTTGGGCAAGCTCCAAAGTGGATGGCTTCAGCCCATCCTACAGGATGGTGCCCCCCAGTTATAAGTTGGTTTATAGACCCCATTAACATCCATGAAAACTAGTTCGTGATATCAGTGAGATCTACCATAAACCATAGAATTCAGCCACTTAGATCTACAGTACTTACCTGGATCTTCAAGTGCTAAATTTATTTTTGTTCATCCCTCATTTCTGCAGTCCGAGCGTTCCGCAAAGTGATACAAAAATGACTGTATCAGATGAGGATAATATAGGTAGCTATCTTGGGGGCCCCCATCCTAAGGCATCCATTTTGCCTGGTGATGACCCCTGGGTGATCTCCACATGACCCAGGTGCAAAGATCACAGCGTACGTTTTGCCCGGCTCCAGGTCGAGGCCTTTTTGGCCGTGAAACACGGGGCTTTTTTTGGGTGGTTTGCCATTGGCAACTAGGAAACTTGGTGCTTTTCCTATGAACACATGGGATTTTAAGCAGGAAAAACACGTGATTTCCTGCTGGATTTACCGAAAAATGGGAGGTTTGCCGGCAGTTCATGGCGGTTTTGGTGGGGAACATTATTTCACACCATGCAACTATGGGGTTGCACTATCTCCAGACACCGGATACAAACAATCGGCATTTCGAAAATGACCATGACCATGATTGTCCTAGGTTTTTTTTGTTCCATGAGAGCCACAGTCCCTTTCGGATTTGGCAAACAGATTTCGATAAAAAATTAAGTACCCCATGGAGACGAGCTTGACGAGTCGAAAAAAAGGTGATGGTTAGTGGGGGGCTAAATCCTTCCAAAACCGCTCAGGTTAATAAGGCTTATGAACCCATCTAGCTGTGGTTACCATGATGCAATTTCAACATTTCAGGTTTATAAACCCATCGAGTCAAAGTTACAATCATGCAGGATCAAGCAAACAGTCAGCCCCAAGTGAAATAGACCAGCTTCGCTAAGAAACTGGGGCGCCACCTTGTACAAACATCTTCATTTACCATTGGTGGATGACTCCTCACTTGATGTTCCATCAGTTCCTCAGTGTTGCTCAGTGGAGCACGGCAAAAATTTGGTGGCGGCAGATTTGCTATCATTTTGTGGCAATTTTCATGGGGAAAATGCCACCAGCTCCCGGAAAGAAGATATATATATATAAGGTACGGATGCATATTGGGTACCGAAATACTTTGTTCGTTTGAGAGTACAACACGCCCCAAAAAGATAGACCAGTAGAATGCTTGGAAAACTGTGATAATTGACAAACATTATTAAAGCTCTGGAAAACTCTAAAACTCTGAAACAATTTAGTAAAGCAATTTAGTAAAGCCTTGGGACTGCGTGAGGCCGGCCGGAACCTCCCGAATTCCGGGCCGTTCCGGGGATGATGGGCCGGCCTGGGGTGATGGGTTGAAGGATGGGTGCGTTGATGGTTTAAGCAGGTTGAATGATGGCGAAACCATGAAAAACATCTATAGATTTGGTTGAAGCACCAAATTTTTAGGCACTGAAATGATGGATAAACTAACTGGTGATAGGTAAGTAGCATCAAAACGTGGGTTCAATGACTGAATCTGGAGTAATATGACTATTGACGATAGGTGAACATGTGTTATTTTCTTTCAACATTGATAGGGGATGATAGGGGTCTATGAGGTTTGAGAAATGGTAGTTGTCCTAAACAAGAGACTTGAATGCTTGCCAATTGATTGTGTATCCTTCGTCCCGGTTGGTTATTTGAATGGTAGGTGCAGAGCCGGATCCCCATGAAATCCACACCAACTGATGAATGGCGCTGGTGGATGGTCCAAATTGAATGTTGCCACAGATGTTGGCAACTTTTTGTAAAGTACCCTCTGGTAATTTAACATAACTATGGAAAATCACCATTTATAGTGAAATTTCCCATGAAAAATGGTGATTGTCCATGGTTATGTTAGTATGTTTAGCAGGCCGGGTATCTGCTGAATCGTTGGCATCTCAATGTTTGACAACATGGGGATCCGAGTCGCCATAGCTTAAGGTTATTGTGGGATCGAGGTTCCAGCAGGTTCCAGGGGAGGTTCGTTGGGAGCTGAAATGGGGCTCCGACCAACGATGGACCGAAATTCCCTGGCGAAACGTCCCCGATGCAGCCGGGGAAGTTGGGGATGGTTGCAGTCTAGTCTAGACAGAGCTAAGAGGGGTGAGGTTGAACAATTCCTCCTCCAAATTCCAGAGGATTATCATAATGATATTATAATATATATATATGATTCATGACTATATGATATTACAATTATATGTATAATAATCTAACATGTTTTTTCCCATGAAAATCACCATTGTATGAGGCTAGCCCTTCTTTCTTGGACGACTCCAGACCTATGGCTTGAAGAGCTGGGATGGCGGATAAATCTACAATTACTAGGGAGCCCCACTTTAGTATACTGAAACAGGTATGGACAATCCTTTCGTATCGCCCTTGAAGCTTGGAGGAATTCTTGGCAACCTGCAAGCCTGGCGAAGCAAATCCAAGGGTGGAGACCTATTCTTCTGGGTGAATCGCTGCTTTTTGGAGGGTAAAGAGAGATCATTTTACCTCTTGATTTACTCATTTTTCTCCCCCAAGCATATCTGATGTGCTTGGAGCAACCCTGAATTTTGGGAACGTAGACTCTGATTCATTTTTGATCTTCGGTTACGCGCCGCTCGACAAACCTCTCCGACCTTCACTCTCCTATGCAAATTTCACTCTCTGGACACCTGGCTCAAAGGGGCAGAAACAGCTGCTCCAGTAGGATCTTTTGGGGTGGCCATGATTGGCCGAACACTTTGACCCAGCTGAGAATTTCCGGGGGATCTCCATCCGGAATCCGCGGGTGAACAGCCACCAGTGGTGAAGATTTTTCTCCCGGAGGTCATAGATGATCTTAAGTAACAGAAACATATTTGCAAGATGTTTTGGATGATGTTTACCTCACAATTTCCGATTTCCCCGCATTTTCCATCTACCCCCAAATCTGGATTTGGATATAGCCATAGATATGGGTTTCATGTGAAAATGGGTGAATCGTCCAGAAATCCAATGAGTTTGTTGTTTGGTTCAACCACCATTTTCGTTGGCAAAACTATTCTTGTTGGTAACGCCACCATGTTTTGTTGGTAAAACCACCATTTTGGTGGAATCGCCAATGTTTTTCTTGGTTAGACCACACTTTTCGTTGCTTCAACTACCATCGTTGCTTCAACCACCATTTTTGATTGGTGGTTTCATCACCATAGCCCAACCAGGTCTCAGGTTTGCCTTGGCATGTCATCTGCCCCCTGACTCGCCATGGCTTCCGTCATCGCGGCACGCTGATGACGGGCCACACTGCGGCCGCAGGGTGACGTGGCACTTTTTGTTGGATGAATGATTGTTGGTTGATATAGTTAATATTATATGGTGAATGTATGGTGAATGTATGGTGAATGTATGACAAAAAATAAACAACAATCATAGTATCATAGTAATGCTGTTATACTATTTACTAACGGTATAAACCATATAATCATAATTATCATAGCTATAATATAAACCATATAATGATGGTGGTGACCAGGTGGTGGCTTTGAGGATGTTTAGACCAGGGACCTGAAGGATGGCTAGTGATGAGACCCCCCAAAGAAATGGGTTTCTTTCTCTCATTATACATGTATAATATATATATATATAATATACATATATAGGTATGTAATTATATACATTATATTATGTATTATTTATATATGTATATATCTATACATATCTATACATACACCATAATCATATGTAACTATCGATACTGATATGTATATACACTGATGTATTATTGAGATCATCATAGGTCATAACTTGGTAGTATTATTGTTATAATATCTGTATGTCATATAAAATTGAATACCCTCTGGTAATTTAACATAACTATGGAAAATCACAATGTTTAATGAGTAAATCAACTATAAATGACAATTTTCAATAGCTAAGTTAAATTACCAGAGGGTACATCATATGCTCCCATGATTCTTCTCCATTTCAGGTCTCGCTCTGCACCCGTGGCGGCTGTGCGGATTAGACCCTGGCTGCCAAACGAGGCGGCGGAGAAGGATCAAATACTGATATTTGTAGGGATGAATTGGATTTAAGGGATTAGAATAAAATTTGTAGGAAAACCCATCTATAAATGGGAAAACCCATCTATAAAATTGATTAGAATGGGATTAGAATGGGAATAGAATGGGAAAACCCATCCATAAACCCACGAAGAATTGAGAAAACATAGGGATCGGAATCTCCATGGGATTTATTGGGGGTTGAACGGGAATTTTAGTGGGATGTGCTGGGATTTAGGCTCTGGTACTGGGATTACTTGATGGGATGTCCTGGGGATTTAATGGGATGTTACTACTCAACTTGATATGACTTTGGGGTGATGTATGGTATATTCATGCCATTTATGGGGCATTTCCAGAGATTTTTTTTTTGGTATATTGGTATATAATGGAATATCACAACAATAGAGGCCTTTGGTGAAATTTTTACCCCTTCCGCACTCAACGGAGAAAAAGACCATGGGAAATCCACCATGGTTTCAACGGAGTGAAAACACATTGACACAACAATGCTGACAATGATCGTCATGTCGACAATAGAAGTGGTATGAAGTAATAACAGAAACAATAAATCGCAGTATTGTGCTAATAAGAAGAAACACATCCTGATCGTTTTGACAATACTTATAAGAATGACAATACCCTCTGGTAAACTAACATAGCTATGGAAAATCACCATTTTTAATGGGAAATTCCACTATTTCTATGGTCATTTTCCATAGCAAACTGTTAGTCATTACCAGAGGGTAACAACAATAACAACTGTTACAACTGTGCTATTCAATCCTGAAATGGCGATGTTCCAGGATGCCGATGCTATAGAGACGGTGGCTGTGGCCGCGCAGCAGGCGGAGATCCCAGTTTCCCATGCGAAGTTTCCCATGTTTCCTACGTAAGAATAGTGGGAAAACATCAGAACCTCCGGGGGACAGATCGATGCTTCGCGATTCTATGGAGTTGTCAATTTTTGATTTTGGATTATTTTGATATTGGATTATTTTGATAGTTGTGGTTGGGAAAAGGTACGATTTGGCGATTTTGTGGTTGTTGTTGGGGTCAGGTTATGGTGGGAATGGATGCTCCGATACTTTGGGTGACCAAGCAACGTCAGTTTTACTGCTGGGAGGGATGCCCACTTTCCATTGCGACTTTGTCGTTTTTTTGGGGGCAGGGACATTCCTTCTGAGACTTGGCGCAACCGAAGACAAACTGCTGATTGAACTTGAACACATCTTCGTTTGTCTGATCATCCGATGTCAATTTTTCCGCTGATTGCATCCCACATTTTTCCGGGGTAGACTCAGACGTTAGCGATGTCAAATCCGCAGTCTGGTCAATGCAGGTGGCTGTGGAAATCCGTGCACAGGCCGTTGGAACTACCCTCTGGTTATTTAACATAGCCATGGAAGCCATGGCCCATAGAAATAGATGGTTTACCATGGTTTACCTATTAAACATGGTGATTTTTCATGGCTATGTTAGTCATAACCAGATGGTACTTGAATCTCTGTTGGTTTCTTGGAGGGTATCGGGGTTTGGTACCTGAACATTTTGGAAAAACTACACATTTGATGCACCAAAAACCGCTTATTTTCCTGATTCAAATCGTCATAGATTGGGTGAACCCGCAGGCAGAGCATCAAAGCAAGGAAGAGGACAATCCCATCCTAGTATTCAATACTACCCAATAAGGGACAACACATGAATAAATCCAATACAAAGCCAGGGTTTCTAGGGGTATATTGAAACATATGGAAAAACAAATACGGGGAGTTCCGATTAATCTGAATCCTTGAAACATGGGAAGTCTGTCTATTCCTCCCACAGCGACAGGGGCAGAGCTGCCTGTATCCTTCGCACTTTGTGTTTTCGCCCAAGCACCCGCAGGCGGTTCCAGTTGACCCCCTGTTGAGTGGTTTCTCAAAGGGGGTCCTCGAAAATCCACCATATATATATATTATATATATATTATATATTATATATATATTATATTATATATTTTATTATATATATTATATATATTATATATTATATATATTATATATATTATATATATTATATATATTATATATATTATATATATTATATATATTATATATATTATATATATTATATATATTATATAATATATTAATATAGTATTATATATATTTATATATTATATATATTATATATTATATATATTATATATATTATTATATTATTATATTATTATATTACTATATTACTATATTATTATATTATTATATTATTATATTATTATATTATTATATTATTCTATTATTCTATTATTCTATTATTCTATTATTCTATTATTCTATTATTCTATTATTCTATTATTCTATTATTCTATTATTCTATTATTCTATTATTCTATTATTCTATTATTCTATTATTCTATTATTATATTATTATATTATTATATTATTATATTATTATATTATTATATTATTATATTATTATATTATTATATTATTATATTATTATATTATTATATTGTTATATTGTTATATTGTTATATTGTTATATTGTTATATTGTTATATTGTTATATTGTTATATTGTTATATTGTTATATTGTTATATTATTAAATATTATATTATTATATAATTATATAATTATATAATTATATATATTTATATATTATATATATATTAATATATATAATATATATTATATAATATATTATATATGTTATATAAATGTTATATATGTTATATATGTTATAATATGTTATAATATGTTATATATATGTTATAATATGTTATATATATAATTATATATGTTATATATGTTATATATGTTTATATATGTTATATATGTTATATATATGTTATATATGTTATATATATATTATATATATTTTATATATTATATATATTATATATATTATATATATTATATATATTATATATATTATATATATTATATATATTACATATTATATATATTATATATATTATATATTATATATATTATATATATTATATATATTATATATATTATATATATTATATATATTATATATATTATATATATTATATATTATATATATTCTATATATTATATATATTATATATATTATATATATTATATATATATTATATATTATATATATTATATATATTATATATATTATATATATTATATATATTATATATTATATATATTATATATATTATATATATTATATATATTATATATATTATATACATTATATACATTATATATATTATATATATTATATATATTATATATATTATATATATTATATATATTATATATATTATATATATTATATATATTATATATATTATATATATATATTATAATATTATATGTATATATGTAAATCTCCATTTAATAGTGGATTTCCCAGCCAGCCACGTTTGATGACACTGGAGGCTGCTGATCTGAGTCATGGGATGCCAATCATCTGCCGGGTTGCTACCTGTGACGTAGGCCTCGGTGTACAAGGAACTTGTGACCAACATCATCGGCGAGGTGCGGTTCCAATGCGGGTCTGGTAGCATCCTCTTGGACCACAACATGTCTGTTGCTTAAACATCCAAAATTGTTGACCAAAAGACATCATTCTTTGCAGTACACCCCGATTCTTTTCGTTGATTCACTATCAATTTCGCTTGCTTAAACCATCAATTTTTCGTGAAACCACCATTTTTCTCGGTTTTTTCTTGGTAAACCCACCACTTTTCTGTTCATAAAACCAGCATTTCTCTTGGTTACCCTCTGGTAAACTAACATAACTATGGAAAATCACCATTTTTAATGGGAAAATCCACTATAAATGGTGATTTTCCATAGTTATGTTAGTTTACCAGAGGGTAACCCCCCACATTTTCGGCTGCCCCGGGGGATCCACCACCGAGGCCATCGCCTCGGGCCGGGGCGGAGCCATCGTGGCCTGCGGCCCCGCCGGCAGCGGGAAGAGTCGGGGGGCGAAGCTATCGATGGAGGTTTTTTCGAGGGAAAATCATAGGGATATAATGGATAATATATGGTTAATATGGTTAAATATGGAACCATAATAACATCTATTTTCCATCTATTAAATTAGATGGATATAAGATGGTTATAATATGTGGTGAAAATACATGTTGATATATGGATATCATGATATATGTCCCTCTAGATCATTTATCCATATATTGGATATGATGGTTATAATATGTGGTTAACATATGGTTAATAGATGTTATTCCTATGTCAGAGATATGTAAACACCATCATATCCATCATACCCATATCCATTATATCCCCCTATCCATATGGATATCCCTCTATTCATTATGTATGATGGATACATGGATATGGATAAGATGGATATGTAAACACACACCTAGATAAATAATTTATTAATGGATATGATGGATATGATGGATATCATATGGTAAGCATGTTACTATACTCGTACTATATGGATATAATATGATGGTTAATATGTGGATAATAGATGTTAATCTATGGAATATAATGGGATAGAACTAACTAACCATCAAAATGTGAAGATGTGAAGATGATAACGGTATGATAACGGTATGATAACGGTCTATACATATATATATATATATATTCCTATGAACTCCATATGTCTTCGTTTTTTTTAAAAGTCATATGGCATTTATAGGGATATCATGGAATCATCAAGATGGGTTGTCATGATATTCATATATGCTTGATAAATAAATATAATACAGTATATATATATACATACATGCCAGTACGGAGTGCGGATGTCTCATGCCGCACTACCAACCGATCTAAGCTGGTGGTTGCATGGCGGCACGAGAAATTTTCTCCGAGGCCAGAGGAAAAAAAACGTTATGTATGGCTTATATGTTACTATGTGGATAATAGTATTGACATATCGAAAATCATCTATCTATCTATCTATCTATCTATATATACATGGAGATTTCATTCGGAACATATTCCATAACTGGAGGTTTTTAATGGGACTACGATGGATTACTTGACTCTCCGGTGGTTTTTGGTGCGTGCAAAAAATCCCGGCCATTTTGAGAGCCAAGGAGCTATGAATTGAGTTTACCACGTGATAGTGACAGTGAATATTAATGGTTACTAGGTGGTTAATCATATTGATCATATAAATATATAGCTTTAACTTGGGAGAATTGGGATAATTGTGATTATATAAATGGGATATATTGATTGACATTTTTTTCAAACATGGCAGTTAATATATGCTTATAGTCACCCTCAAATAGGATAGAACTGCTATAAGTTTGGTTGGTGCTTTGATGATCGATCATCCCTATGAACTTTCATACTTTTCAGGGGGAAAGCACCAGTGAAATCAATGGTCATTTCAGGAGCCTTACATAGGCCTTATATATGGTAGGTACCTCCAATTTAGGATCCGGAAATTCCCAATGATGAAAGGTGATGTCTTTTTTGTGCAACTTGGAATGGGAAAAAAACCTTAGTTGAATAATTTTGTGTCAGGTGAAAGTTTTTGTTTTAAATTTGTAATGTGTAATTCCTTAGTTGAATATTTTTTTGTCAGTTTTGAGAAACACATCCTGTGCAGATGCCAGGGGTTGATAGATACATGGATGATTTTTTTTTTTTAAATGTGGTTGAAAATGCTGTATACTCCCATCAATGGCAATTTTAGATCAGAAAAACCTATGATAAAATTATGAAAATTATGATATAGTTTTAGATCAGGAAGATTATGATAAGATTATGATAAACTATGGGAGTTTGGGGGGCTACTTGCAGACATTCCCACGTGGAAAAGCTTTGGACGATTCTCTGAGGCCACACCCTGTTGGGCTATGGCGCTCACCTCAGAGGGACCAATATCCGTTGGTGCTTAGTACTTGATCATAATCAATATTTTCTATATATATATATATGTATATATATATATTTCTGATCAACTATAGTAGTTGAGGATTATGTTAACCCATATATATATATATATATTCTCAACTTTTCCGTTTTTTTTTTTGGTAGCTATATGATGACCACAGCCCCCTGTGGCATAAAGACATCGCCGAGGCTCGGATCCGGGGCTGATTCCCCACGCCACGCTGGACATCTTTTGCTCCGTGTCCTCGGGGGGCGGCAAGTTGAAGGCCGGAGGGGATCTGGGATGCCCTATGGAATAAAACAGGGGTACGAACGTTTGGGATATATATATGTATATATATATATTATATTATATTATATATATATGTAATATTATATAGTATATATATATATTTGGATTTTTCGGATGTTTAGCCTGTGGTTGATGGATTCAACAGACCCATGAAATTGGTGATGTTCAGGACCTTGGACTATCCAGTTTTTTGGGTCAACCATTCTTGAGCCATACCCATACGAAGCCGGCGGTGGACACTGTGGGAAATCCAACATTAGAAACCACTTGGGCTAAAATTAGTCATGGTTTAGTATTGGGTCATTGATGTAGAGGACGGCCGTGAAAGAAGTTCAAAACCAGGCAAGGGCCTTCGAACACACTTGGAATTTCTTGTTTTGGGATTGCCTCCGACTTTTCAAGTTGCAACTTGTGCATTTGCCGCCAGCTTCATGACCCTATAGCCACGGCCTTATTGCCTGAAGCGTTGTTAGCCGCATGCGGTGGTGCGCGAGTCGATTCCAATGGAGAGGTTTCAGCCGCTTGGCGCCCAGGTTGCTGCCACTTTGGTGGCAACAGGGATGGCCGCGCCAACGCGCCGGCAGTGTAGCTGAGGCGGAGTTACTGGCACCGTTGGGGGAGCTGCTGATGCCCGGCGTGCCGGTGACGGAGATGTTTCGAAGCTTCAAATCGCCGGCAGGGTGGGGTGGGAAGTATTTGGAGCCAGATTTGACGGCTTATGGCCTGTTGAAAGATGAGAATGCAGCGCTGTTTGTGGAGTATGATGGGTATTACTTGCATGCGACAAAGGAAGGACGGGAGAGGGATGAAGTGAAGAATACGGCCCTCTTGGAATTTGCACCTGTGGGTTCGTTTGTGGTTCGCGTCCATCACACAGGCAAAAGTGAGCTGGACAAACAAGTTCTCTGGTTAAGTGTCAATACTTGGGGCAGAGGGCATCGCCCGTCGCTTGCTGGTGTTTTGAAACAGATGCTGGAAGAGATGGTGCCTAGACTTAGACATGTTTTGCATCCTGGCGTGCGAAAGCGTTTGGAACTGTATTTGCGGGACAAGGAGCCGCTTGTGATCTCCAGATCTGCCCAAGAATTTTGTGAAGCAGCTGTAAGTAAGGGGAGAGGTAATATGGTGGAAGATATTTCCAACAACTTGTTGGCTTGGGGGTTGGGACTCGAAGATGTTGATAATGGCATGTGTATAAGCAGAACTCTACATCCACAGCTACAATGGTTGTTGGAGTTGGGCCTAACAAAGGGTCAAGTTGCGAAGGCAGTGGCCTCTTGTCCTAAGATTCTTGGCCTCAGCATCGAGCAGAATTTGAAACCCACCATTCAGTGGTTCTTGGACTTGGGGCTGACGAAGTGTCAAGTTGTGAAGGCAGTGGCCACTCAACCTCAAATTCTTGGCCTTAGCATCCAGCAGAATTTGATACCCACCGTTCAGTGGTTCTTGGACTTGGGGCTGACGCAGTGTCAAGTTGCGAAGGCAGTGGCCAGTCATCCTCAAATTCTTGGCCTTAGCATCCAGCAGAACTTGAAGCCCACGGTTCAGTGGTTGTTGGATTTGGGGCTAACAAAGAGTCAAGTTGCGAAGGCAGTGGCCACTCATCCTCAAATTCTTGGCCTTAGCATCGAGCAGAATTTGAAACCCACCGTTCAGTGGTTCTTGGACTTGGGGCTGACGAAGTGTCAAGTTGCGAAGGCAGTGGCCATTCATCCTCAAATTCTTGGCCTTAGCATCCAGCAGAACTTGAAGCCCACGGTTCAGTGGTTGTTGGATTTGGGGCTAACAAAGAGTCAAATTGCGAAGGCAGTGGCCACTCACCCTCGACTTCTTGGCTACAGCATCGAGCAGAATTTGAAACCCACCGTTCAGTGGTTCTTGGACTTGGGGCTAACAAAGAGTCAAGTTGCGAAGGCAGTGGCCATTCATCCTCAAACTCTTGGCCTTAGCATCCAGCAGAACTTGAAGCCCACGGTTCAGTGGTTGTTGGATTTGGGGCTAACAAAGAGTCAAGTTGCGAAGGCAGTGGCCACTCACCCTCGACTTGGCTACAGCATCGAGCAGAATTTGAAACCCACCGTTCAGTGGTTCTTGGACTTGGGGCTGACCAAGAGCCAAGTTGCGAAGGCAGTGGCCACTCAACCTCAAATTCTTGGCCTTAGCATACAGCAGAACTTGAAGCCCACGGTTCAATGGTTGTTGGATTTGGGGCTAACAAAGAGTCAAGTTGCGAAGGCAGTGGCCAGTCATCCTCAAATTCTTGGCCTTAGCATCCAGCAGAACTTGAAGCCCACGGTTCAGTGGTTGTTGGATTTGGGGCTAACAAAGAGTCAAGTTGCGAAGGCAGTGGCCACTCATCCTCAAATTCTTGGCCTTAGCATCCAGCAGAACTTGAAGCCCACGGTTCAATGGTTGTTGGATTTGGGGCTGACAAAGAGTCAAGTTGCGAAGGCAGTGGCCACTTTTCCTCCTACCCTTCGGTACAGTGTAGAGAGGAACTTGAAACCCACTGCGCAGTATTTGCTGGACTTGGGGCTGATGCAAAGTCAAGTTGCAAAGGTAGTGGCCATTCATCCTCAATTTCTTGGATTGAGCGTTGAGAAAAACGTTGCTTGCAAGGTCAAACAATTGCAATTTTATCTTCCAGCCCATGACGTTGTGCAGCTTATTGCCCAATGGCCGAGCATATGTTCTTACAGGCAGCAGCGCCTGGAAGAACGTTTGAAAGTTCTGGCAGAGCAAGATAGTCTGGCCAAACTGATCAGCGCTATGTTCCTGACCGATGAAGCCTTCGATAAACGCTTTGTGATTGGGGAAAAAAGACTCTGCCTGCTCGGTGTGAAGAAGGGCTGCGAAGGTGTTTGAAGAGGACTTCGAAGCTTGCAACACCCAAAGAAGTTGGGCCATTTTGTGTGTCTCAGAGCAATCTCAGCATCCACTTTGCCTGTTGTCGCGCCAGGTGTGGTGTTCCTACTTCGAGGCTCAACCTTGTGTTGAACGAGCATGCCGCATGCCAATACTTTTTGCGGTTCTGATTAGAATTGAATGAAGATTCTAGTGACGCAAAGAGTCATCCCACAAAGATGAACTGAAGAAACAATGTCCATTATCTGCACTATCACAAACATTTCTCCTTTTATTAGCACGTCCATATACAACTCGCAGATCCTCACCGTCTCTGATTTCATTTCTGATTCTCTGCCGCATGCAGCCAGGTTGATCACGAACTCACCGACCTGTTGGCGCCGCTTCCAGATCCCAAACTAGAGGTCCCTGCATGGCTCTGACACTAGGTGAGGATCGGATAACCATGTTTCTTTGGTGGGATCCAAATCCAAGCGGATTTCCCATGGATTATGGACTGGATGATAATGGCAGATTCTTTTCAAATGGAACGATTCCGTTGCCCGATAGCCACAGCCCTTTGCTCCTCCCTTGGTACACAGGAGACCGGCTTGGGCGAGGTTCCCTTGGAGGCCAGCTGTTTCGAGGTTCACTTCGAACAGGTTCTGGGTGATTCCCTTGGACTGGGCAATGACTTTCAGACCTATAACATCCTATAAACATGTTGTATAATGTCATTATGATATATACATCACCCACACATACTCACACTATGCTTCTAAAAGAAGTTTAAACACCGACGTTTGAAGGTAGACTCAAAACTAAATGAAGACAAACATGGTCTCACCATCCAAAATTTTCGATCCAAACATCTATCTTCTCAAAAGATCTCCAAAACCCCTGGTAAAACTCTTCAGTTTCACCATTTTTCATTTAAACAACACCAACAACTCTCCCGTGGTGAATGGAGGGAGCTCTTATGGGCTATGGTTGTATCCAGCATGTCCCAATATTTCCCAACCACATCTGGATCCATGTTCGGGTAAATCTGATCGCTTTGGGACTGTTTCACCTGGACCACGACCATATTTTCTACAGACCTTTACCCATAGGATCCATGGTGCTGGTATATATACTAACATAAAGGGGGTAATATTGATGGGATCCATGTTGCCATATATATCACCACACCATGGATCCTATGGGTTAGGACATCGCAGAAGTTTCCCACCGAAAAATCCCCCAGGTGGTGGAGCTCCGCGGCTCCGGCGTGCACGTCTGCGGCCTGGCGGAGTGCTACGTGGAATCCATCGCGGAGGCCGCACGAAAAACGGTGGGGGATTTCGGGGAGGTGGATTTCGGCGCAAAAACATACGACATTTGATGATTTTAGAGGATTTATAGTTTTTTTTTTCGGGATTTCAGTGTCAAACATAGGAATCATTAGGAATCACTGGTAGATTTTGAAGGGGATTTCACCAGGAAACTTGGGGATTTTATCTGATTTTATGGGATTTTCTACTCATGGAACCAAGCAAAATATCGTATTGGGATGTATTGGGAAATTCACGCATAAAAACGGGGGATTTCAGTGAACAAGAGGGATTCGAATGGATTTAAGTAGTAAAATCGAGGGTTTCAGTGCAACAAATTGGAGATTCCAAGGGATTTCACCAAGAAAAAACTTGGGGATTTTAAGGGATTTAAATCATAGTTTCCTTTCCATTCTCCAGGAAATGAACCAAGTGAATATTACGTTTTCTGTGGTTCTCTCCAATCTTTTCTTCAAGCTGCTTTTTGCAGGTCACCACCCTGGTTCGGTTTCGATTTTTGCAAGCAAAATCAATCCATTTACAGCATCCGTCTTAGTACCCTCTGGTAATTTGACATAGCTCTGGAACATCACCATTTTTTTTTGCAGTTCCGCAGTAATTTTCCAATTTTTCATTGTCCCCCCCAGCTAAAGTCATTCTTTGCCATGTTTTTCCCAATAATTTTCCAGCTATATACTTCTGTGGTGGCATTTTTAGAGTTTCGGATGACACGCACAAATCAAGAAGTGTCAGTACAGGCAGGTGAGGTCATAAGCCTTTGGACCTGATCAGGCATGGCCCCTGCGCAAGGATAACACACACTGATGCATTCATGGCTCAAGAAAAAGGGGTGACTGCCTTGTTGCCCTTGCCTTTTTGCCCGTTTTTAGGGTTCGCAGGTTATGAGCCCAACCAATTTGGTTGGGTGCACTCCGTGGTAGGTGCCGATGGATCGAAGGCGCCGACAACGTGGAGAAGCTGGGGAAACAGCTGACCAACGGCTGGACCGGCTGATCGAGATGGAAAGGAGGTCGCAACTCCAGCCTTCTATCGTGCCTGAAGTTCGAAGACTGAAGGTTGTCGAAGGAGGTGCAGCAGCTTCAGGTTCTGAACTTCGACATGATGGTCGGGGCGAAGATGGAGAAGGAGCTGTGCAGGGACCTGCAACTCCGTTTCAGCTTGGGTCAGATGTCCAGGTGCCTGAGGGGATGCTGGCTCCACTTTTCCAAGACCTTGGACCTGAAGGGACGTCTGGGGTGCTCTATAGAAGGTTGGATGAGGATGACATCACTCGTCCGGCAGTTGAGGCAGAGCCTGGACTTCGTGGGAGCCCTGGTGCTGCTGGAGCGGGACTACAGCCTGCTCAAGATCTACCCAATGATGCTGGCCGAGGACAAGGTTTTGTACACCGAGATGGGGCACCCTTGTTGGAGGCAGCTGGTGGCCCGTTTGGCCAGGATCGCAGTGGCACTGGAGGCTTAGTGGTGTCTCCTGGCGTCAATGCTTTTTGGAACGCTGATGTGAGAAGGGCCGCCGCCTTAGAGCAGGTAGCGAATGTGGAGAGGCCGTTGGACCTTCCGCCTTTAGCTGGACCGCCGGTGACATTTGGCCCTGTGCAGGCCCTTGGAGTTGATCATGGAGGTTCGGGACTTCTTCAACCTGGTGTTGGCCCTGAGCAGGCCCCGTCGCATTTGGTGTCTGCTGGCATGAGCCCTGTGCAGGCTCCTCTGGTTGGTGCTGGCCCTGAGCAGGCCTCTATGCGCTTGGTGGCTGCTGGCATGAGCCTTGGGCAGGCTCCTATGGGCGGTGCTGGCCTTGTGCAGGCCCATGGTGCTGAAGGTCGTCAAGGGGGTCCTGAGCAGGCCCGTGGTGGAATGCGCGGCGCTGGCCCTGTGCAGGCCTTGACCAATGGGGCGCTGTCGCAACCATCGCCTGAGAAGTCAGTGGAGGAGTTGCGACTCCGCATCATGAAGGAGGCGGAAGAGAACTTCATCCGGGAGGCCAAGAAGCTCAAGGGTGAGGAGGTCGAAGGGGAGATTAGGTCGTACCACACGGCTTCAAGTGGGGTGCCGCTTATGCCGGCCTTGCAGGGAACCGCAACAGCGACGTCTTTGGCTATGCAGCAAGCTGGGCATGGGCTTCAAGGGGGAGCACACTTGGCTGGTCAAGGGCATCAATTGGTTTGGAGTCAACCGGTCTCTCCAATGGCAGTGAACTCTCCTGGACTTCCTAGTGGCCATTCCCCTGGACTTCATGGTGGAGCGTGGGCATCTCATGGCCATCTTCAAGCTGGTGGACTTTGTGGAGGTGCTGGATCGATGGTGCACTCGCAAGGTCATGCGACTGGTGTGCATAGTGGTGGTCAAATTCCAAGCAGCTGGAACGCAATGGGTCCTATGGCATCCTTTGGAGGAGGGGGCATCGACTCAAATGTGGCGGCAGACACAACAGGAACTGCGCCGTTGGTTATGCCTCCAGGGCTTGGTGGTCCGGATCAACCTCAAGGGCATGCGACCCCTATGGAGCCGCAAGCTCTGAACTTCCTCTACTACCACAACCTGGCACAGAGCAGTCAGCCTTGCAGTTTGGGGACTGGATCACGGTGGTCACTCCAATGCTTGGAGATGTGGCTGGATCGGCTCGTGGATGGTGGAATGACATCCTGAGGGAGGCTGCAGGGTTGTATGACAGATGGCTCACCTCAACGCCCTTGGAAAGGATCAGACTCCGTCCAGCTGAAGTTCAACGATCAGAAACCCATCTACGTTTGGAACAGAGGGTGGTGCCGATGTTGCTGAAGTGCATCCCAGAGCTCATCAAGCAGGACTTGATTGCCAGCAGAACCATGACGGTGACGGGCATCATGTACCGGCTGTGGACCATCTTCCAGCCGGGTGGGAGCTCTGAAAGGGTGAGCATTCTCAAGCAGCTCACGGAACCAAAGGTGGGGGCCAGTGCTCCAGATCTTCTTGGAGGACTTCGGAGGTGGAGACGGTTGATGAGCAGGTCATTGGAGTTGAACTTGGCCCTGCCAGACCCGATCATCCTCAGTGGAGTCTTGCACCGCTTTGCAGATGCCTTGGGAAAGCTTGGTGGGACGCAGTTGGCCTATCGGGTGGCTTCAGTGAGGCAGGAGCTTGGTGTGGACATCAGACCTGGTGCAGTGTCCACTGAGCAGTACGCGGAGTACCTCCAGTCCGAGGCAGAAGAACTGAGCTTGGGGATTGGCTTGAAGGCCACAACTGCTGGAGCCGCTGCCACAACATCCCTGAAGGCCATGGTGAGTATGGAGACTCCAACCCTGACTTCGAGCACAACTCTAGGAGGCACTGTGAAGTCTCCATGCAAGTTCTGGAAGACTACGGAGGGGTGCAGACGTGGAGCACTTTGTACGTTTCTTCATGAGACTTCCGAGATGAAGGGAAGGTGTTTCAACTGTGGGAGCTCTTCACACTTCGTCGGGACTGCACAGCGAAGACCTCATCTACTCCAACTTCTACCCCCGCGCAACAGGGTGGTTCTGCAGGAGATGGCTCACAACAGAAGAAGGTGTCCAAGGTGAAGGCAGCTTCAAAGCCATCTGCCAAGGATTCACCTGGCGACTCTCAGAAGGGAAAGGCCGCCAATGCAGGCGAGATGAATCCCAAGGAGGTTGTGAACACCGTCTCTGGGACTACTTCTGAAGGAACTCAAGGAGGTGAATCGACCACCACAGAGCCGATGGGTGAACCCTCAACCGAGGCAGCAGCAGAGCTGATGCGAGAGGCCACAAGCCTCCTGAAGTCCATCAGGTCATTGAAGGCCGTGCGGATGAAGTCCGTGGGAGAAGGGAACTTTGGTGGACCTGGGGAGTACGCCCTTCTTGATGGAGGTGCTACTCATGGACTTCGACAGGCCAAGCCTGAAGAGGAGCCGGACCTGATCGCCACGAAGGTGGAACTGGCTTGTGGGTCAACGGTGCTCTACAAGCACCCCAGGCATCAGACCTTGCTGAGCAAGGAGCCGGTGGAGCCAATCATACCTTTGGCCTGGCTGGTGGCGGCCGATTACAGGATCACATGGCGCCGTGATAGCATCGTGATCCATCACCCAGTAAGGGGACCGTTGAAATGCAGCTTGAGGGGCGGTTGCCCGGTGATGTCTCGATCCGAGGGCTTGGAGTTGTTGGCTGACCTTGAGAAGATGCAGCAGACCAACATTGAGGTCAAGGAGGACGAGCTGAACTGGTGGGCGAGCCGATTCCCACAGGTGCCGCCGTCTGTCTGGAAGTTCATGAAAGGACAGGGTGAGTCTTGGAAGGATCATGCTGCTGGTCTCCCCTGGAATCGCCATCGGAGGCGACGATTGTGGCGCTGTCGTGGGGTGATCCTACACTTGTTTTCTGGCCGAAACCCCAAGCATTGGGCTGAGCTGGAGCAGGCGGGCTACATGGTCATCACTGTTGACACTCTTCAAGGAGTGGATCTTCATGATGCAGCGACGTGGGCATTTATCTGGGAGCTGGCTTGCGCAGGGAAGATTGCGGCGATCTTGGGTGGTCCGCCTTGCCGCACAACTTCAAGGCTGCGTCAACGCCAGCCTGGACCACCTCCATTGAGGGGGCGAGATGAATGGCGGTTCTCGTTGGAGGGCCTCACAACATGGGATCTTCACAGGGTCAACTCAGACACGGCCCTGCTCTTCAAGCAGCTTGGACTCTTCATCAAAGCCGAGGAGAAGCGCCTACAGGTGTTGGAACTCCAATCACTTCCTACTGCTTTCGCATTGGAATCCCCTGAAGACCCAATGGCATACTTGGGATTTGAGGCTGCGCACAACCTTCCATCCTTTTGGAATTTCCCTGAACTGAAGGAGATGGTGGGCTTGGGGAACTTGAAGCTGGTGAGCTTTGACCAGTCCCAAATGGGGCATGCCCGAAGGAAGCCAACCACCATCCTGGGGAACTTGCCTGGATTGGAACAGCTGGATGGCCTGAGAGATTCATCTCGACGATCGGACCCACTTC